GTGGTGGTGATGATGATGATGATACTGATGATGATACTGATGATGATCTTGTGGTTGAGGAGGAGGAGGTGGAGGAGGAAGAGGATGAGGCGAGATGATGAAATGGCGGAGGTGGAAGATGAGGAGGAGGAGAAGGAAGAAGAGGAAGAGGATGAGAAGGACGAGGAGGAGGAAAGGGAGGAGGAGGAGGAGGAGGAGGAGGAGGAGGAGAAGGAGCAGGTGGAGAGGATGAGGATAAGAGGATGAGAGGGAGCAGGTGGAAGAGGAAGGAGCAGGAGGAGCAGGAGGAGGAGGAGGAGGAGGAGGAGGTGGAGGAGGAGGGCTCTGAGGGTTCTGATGATACCCGCCTGTCGAAGGCGGCTGGCGCGCAGGCCGAGGGGGTCTCGCCTCGCGGCCGCGCCGCGGCCGAGGTGGCGGTAATCCACCCGCGCACGAGCCGGCCGAGCGAGGCGAGCCGAAGCGAAACGGAAGCGCGGGCCAAAGCCCGAAGCAGAGCACACCAAGCCCCCCAATGGGAGCTTAGTATGCCCTGCCCTGTGCGTGGGAAGACCTTCTCCCCAAGCCGCCTCCTACAGCCTGGAAGTCGAAGGTTTTCAACGCCATGCCGAACGATAACGAGAAGGCCACGCGTCCCACGAGTCCGAACTGGTCGAACTCAAACTCCGTGGCCGTGCTTGCGGCTGTACTCCACGACCCTGTCCAGCCACGAGTCGCCGAACCTCTCCCTTGGCCATCGCGACCAGGGTCTCCGTGTCGAATGCGCCGTCGTCGAGGTGCTTGTTCTTCGCCTTGTTCTTCTGCTTGTTCTTGGTCTTGGTGGCTGCTTTGCCCATTCTCGATGTGCATCTTGGTGTAGTTGCCGACGCCGTCCTCACCCATGCGGTCGGCTCCAACGGCGCACTCGTCGTAGCAGCTGTAGTCGGAGTCCTCGGCCTCCCCGAAGCCGTTCCCGATGTAGAACTTCTGAGACTTCCTATCCAGCATTGTATCGTGAGCCTCCAGAGGATAGGGCCTCTGGTCCTTCAGCTCGATGCCGCTGCTGGGGAAGCGCACCTCTTTCTGCTCCAACGATTCTCCTGCAGCTTCGCCTGCTCCTCCTCCAGCGCGAGCCGTTCCGCCTCCAGGAGCTGGTTGTTGGACTCGCTCTGCTTCTCCATGGACTGGTTCTCCTGCACCGTGGTCGAGCCCAAGGCGGCAGCCGGCGCCGTCGCCATCTCGTTCATGTTCTCCACGGACATCGGGGCCTGCTGGTTGCGTATCCGACGCTGCGCCCTGCTGGTTGCGTATCCGACGCTGCGCCTCGAACCGCTTCCTGGCCAGCAGGCGGCGCACCCAGTCCTCCTTCTCGGTCTTCACGTCCACGACGCTCAGGTAGCACGCCGGCGGCGGCGGCGGCGCGGCTGGCGGTGACCTTGCCGTTGCCTTCGCCTCCGCCTTCGCCTTCGCCTGCTGCCTCTCCTTGAACGCCCTGTACTTGCGCTGGCGGCGGTTGAGGCTCGGCTCCGCGATGGGGATTGCCGAAATTCTGGGTCTCGAAGGCGCCGCCAGACTTCGCGCCCTCGCAGACGGCGGGCGACCGGGGGAGCCCAGGTCGCGCTTCTGGCCGAGCAGCTTCTCCACAGCCCTCTGGCAGGTCGCAGGCATCTCCTTCGCCTGCGGCAGGTCCACGCCGCACTGCATGCTGCTCCTGTCCTTCGTGTGCCTCGCCTTCGGGAGTGGGGCCGACCCTGGGGCCGACCAGCTCTTCGCGCGTGTCGATGGCAGCGGCCCGTGCCCCTGGCCCGGCTGCTCCAGGGCAGGAACCTGCCCCCCGCCAAGCTGGACCTCGCCGTCGCTGCCCGCCCTGCAGCGCGAGCTCCGCCGTGTGGAAGGCGGCGCGGTCCGTGAGCCTCTGCGCAAGGCTGGCCAGCAGCTCACCACTGTCACAATCGGGAGCTCCCGCCAGCGCACCTCGCCTGCGCCGCTGAGAGTCGCGGCGAGGTCGGCGAGGCTCAGCTGCCGCCTCCAGCAGATCGCGCGCCGCGGGCGCCTGCGCTGCGC